AAAAGTGTCGATTTCCCTTTAATTTCAAACTTGTTCAATTACATCAAACCCGTGAGTTTGATTCAATTCCACTGAGTTTGCACCGTGTCTATTGAAAAACGAGTCTATTCACGAGTTAACTCGTAACCAGATATTGAACTTGCAAAGTCGTCAATCATGATAACTGGAATTCTGCCTTGCAGAAAAAGGTGTTGCACAGGTTGTGAAACAATGTTTGGTTAGTAAATAATGTGTTAGGCCAGCTTAAAAGTGGCTTTTTGTACATGTGGGCAGCATTTGCATCACTAATTGGGAAACATGAATACTGAGTACTGATTTCCTTAAGCTTTGGTATTTCTTTTTTATCTGAGCCTGGTTCCTAATTTTGTTGTACAATACGGCTTCTAGGTAATTAAATTTTACCATGTGTTATAATGTATTCACTGATTTTCTTTTCTTGCAAGAGTTATTGTCTCCTTGAATGTTCCGCATTAATAGTTTGTATTTCTTACTACAGTTGTGCTCATACTTATAGTTCTGATGTGCTGTCAAGTTATCATAAATGTGATGTATGTGTTTTTGCTTTTCCTCAATCTTCAGTATGATTCTGTGGGATGGGCTCCAAAAGAATATAATCCAGATGACAAACAACCTACTGGTCCAGAGCAACCTGGCACAGAAGTTGGTGCTCCACAATCGGGCTTTGTTTGGGATGAAGCATCGGGTTATTACTATGATGCTGCTTCTGGTTTTTACTATGATGGAAATACTGGTATGTATCTCGGTTGGGTTGATCAGAAAATCTTAAGATTATGTTAAAAGTTTCTTGAAAGCATTTTTGTTGCTTCATATTGAGCCAAAAGTAGTTTGGAGGTTACCTAGAACATATTGAAGTTGATTCTACAACTACATTTACTGGTGCAGTAGTGCCAGTCAATTTTTAGGCTGTTTCTTTTTCTGTATTTCCCTTTTCTCATTTTCTTGTGTAATTGAGTTCTATTAGATGTGATAAGGCTGTGAAATTTAAAAAAAAAAAATTCATATCCCATTTACGTGGTATGTTTCCATCTGTTATATTCACACACCATGTATGCTAGCATTGTGCTTTGGGAAGTGTTCCTTATGGAGCTTGCATGTGTTGGTTGAGGCTATTTTTTGACCAGCATTAGACTTAGAAACACTGATGTGATTGTCAAAAATAGTCATATCCACTTATTTTTTGTTTGATCTTTTACACCCGTCAAATGTAGGTCTTTACTATGATGGTAATAATGGAATTTGGTATTCATATGACAACCAAACTCAGCAGTACATACCTTGCTCTGATCAAAATCAGAACAAAACATCTAATAACGAGTCTGAATCTTCTAAGGCTTCTGATGGTTCTGGAAGTAAAAAGGTCATTTCTGCACCAGCTACCACTGTTACATCAGTTGAGAAGCCAGCTTCATTGGCAGATGCTGTTCAGGCTGCAGCAACAGCTGCTTTAGCTGCAGAGAAGAAAGAAAAAGAAAAATCCAAGGAAATAAAACTTGCCTCAAAGAGCAGTATTCTGGCAAACAAGAAAAAAATGAACAATGTATTGACAATGTGGAAGCAGAGGAGCCATGAGGGGCAGGCTACTAGAGTTGCTCTGGAAGACAATCAGGCTTCTGTTTCAGTGGATGATAAATCATATTCTGCTGGGCATTCTGCAAAGAATAAGTCAAAAAATGAGACTATGGTAAGGGAAAGTAATGCTTCTAATCCAGGAATTCACACAACTCTTGCCCAGGTTGCTGCTATTGATTCTCAGGCACAGCCACGGCCTGTTAGTAATAGTCTTGGAGGCACTGTAATGGGGGTCATAAGGGGCTCAGGAAGAGGGGTTGTTAAATCAGATACTTATTCAAGTTCTACAGCTGTTGCATCATCTATGCAAAGTTCATCTTCAGCAAATGTTGATGCACAGACAGTTGCTACTCCTTTTAGAACAGATGTATCTGCCCTGGGTTCATATACACCATCTGCAACTGTTGGAAGTGGCCGAAGAAGGTTTTCAGAAATGCCTCTTCCTGCTTCAGCGCACAAGGAACAACCTCAAACAACATACCGGGATCGTGCAGCTGAAAGGAGGAGTTTGTATGGCTCATCATCTTCAGTTGGAAATGATTTGGCTGATCTTGACATTGGGGATTCAAGTAAGACTACTTAATTTATACTGGGTTTCAATGCTCTTGTCTTTTTGTACTTTTGATTACTGCTGAGCTGAAGAGATAGTAGTTAGTTACTCATTTCAAAGCGTTGTCTGGTATCTCTGATGAAAAAGGCTCTGGGAGTAGAGGAAGCATTAGTTTGTCATATTAGATGTGAATTAAGGCATTGACGTGCTACATATATTTCGGGAAATTGTATTTACTATTTGTGGTGATAGGAGGGGTGAGGATTATTTTTTATAATAGAGGCAATTGAAGAAACTTTCCTTGTTAGGAAGTTAAAATTGTTTGCATGCAAATTCTTCTATAATTATATATTTGTATGATACAATAGAATTATGTTTTTTATTCTATTACCACAATTTATTGATCTTTAGTGTCAAATATTAGGTAATGTTTAAAAGTTTTAAATAACTAAATAGCAAGTTTTCAAGGCAATCCGTAAAGTGGTAATTTAATATGTGGATTGACTATTTGAGAAAATATTTGTTTCTACCATATGTATCCTTGAAGGCCGAGATTTTGCATCAAGGAAGGGTGATCCAATGCCATTCCCTCCTGGGGTTGGTGGGGGACGTGTGGTTGGAGATGCCAACCTTGATACTTTCGAGGTGATTACGGCAGACAAAGCAATTGATGAAAACAATGTTGGTAATCGGATGCTTCGCAACATGGGCTGGCAGGAAGGATTGGTACCGTTTCGTTCCCTCTGCATTACATGATTTTTTTTTATTGTTATTCGGGTTGTTTGGTATAGCTTGATGCAGTCATTTGTTTTATATTTGGAATAAGTTCCATTATTCAAATTTCCTTATTTCAGGGACATATGCTAGTACTTTAATCTTCAGCGTAGATAATATTTTCCTATAGTTTAGATATATTTTTTTCTTAGTTTATGTTTGGACCTCAAGAATTGGATGGGATACCTCGGGAAATTTGGTGGTCTCTCAACATATCTGCTTAGGGATTCTAACATTTTCTACATCATGGCTGTTTCGTGTATTATGGATAATTTGATGCACAGGGGCTAGGAAAGGATGGAAGTGGAATGATAGAGCCTGTCCTGGCACAAGCCACGGAACATAGGGCAGGACTTGGTAGTCAACAGAAGAAGTTGGATCCTAGCCTTGAGGTGCAGGCAGGGGACAGTTACAAGATGCTTATTCATAAAAAAGCACTAGCCAGGTTTAGGGAGATGTCAGACAGTTAAGGTTTGAACACATAATGTAGGATTTAGCTTGGATAATATATTATTATTACTTAGCTGTTTTTTAAATATTTTTATCGTAAACACTAGTTTGCCAGCACAATTTCAAAATTCATTTTTGAAATTTATTCTACATGTCAACCTCTGCCCTAATTGTTGCAGGATATTTGCTTTAGTTTAATTCTGACGAGTGTTTTGCAATGCGCTTCAGTTTTTCTTTTGCCTTTAGTTTTAAGTGGTCCTGTCTTGAGTGTGGTTTCTTACATTTTTCGCCACTGTATTTTATTTTATTTGCTTATTTTTTGGATTAAAAAGCCTTTTATTGGGCAGAGCAATTGAAGATTTGAAGAAAATATGATTCCAGGTTATGTCTCGAGAAAAATCCCTTTAAAATATGTATGCTTTATAGTTACTGGAGCCAAACCACTTTGAAAAACCTCTCACAAACATCTGCATCTTTACGAATCACGGTAATGACCATAATAATGACGATGTTTGTTAATTTTGGCAGTCTCTGCGTTGGAGATTACGATAGATAATGTGTCTAGGGTTTTAAAAAAAATACCGTCTCTAAACTTATTATTATTTATACTTTTTTGTCTCGTCTATAAAATAAGATAAAAAATAGCTATTAGTTAAATCAATATTATAAATTAGTCTATCGGAAAAAAATTGAGTAAAGAAATCTTGAATTCGTCACAATCTGCTAGAGAGCACAGGGGAATGTTCTCATATATTTAGCTCTTGTTTCTTCAAAGCCATTGATAAATATAACTCGAAGAACATTTTAGCTATTTATACTTGTGCCTGCACTCGTGAATAGTCATAATAAAATTTTAAAAATTATGAACTATAAACTCACTGTTCATTATAGAACATGGAACATTCGATTTGTGTATTAAATAAGACATAATATATAAAACAAGTCGAGTAATAAGATTTTTTCCATGCTTCTTCAGATAAACATTCTTCCCTTAATGAATATTTTAGTGAGTGTAATGCACAAAATCGATACAAATACTTATAGGAAAAAAAATATAGTTTGACAACACAATTTTATTTGAACATTTAAGTTGTCAAACCATATCATACATCTGAAACAATATGGGATTTTGTGGCCCATTTGTAGGACTTATTAGGGATTAGATACGACATCTTAATTAACATTTTTTTTTAGCATTTAATCTTGTCACATGGTGAATTCATGATTCCGTAAAAGCTTGAGTTCAGTTCAGTTCTGTTTGTCCCTACAATGAATGCGTTAATGGAAATTTTGAGAGCTGCAACTTTAGGCAGAAAGATCTTCATTTTCCTAGCTATGCACCATACAAATTAGATAAAAGATTATAATAAAAACAAAAATCTGCACCTTTTATATATATTATGCAAATAACATAAAAGATTTGAACAAAAAAACACATCGGATCTATGTATATATACAAAGCATTAAAAACTATCTCATCCCCCATGTTCAGTAGGTGAGTTCATCCTATGTTTCACAGAGGAGAGAAAATAAATACTAATATTATAATTTTATTTAAGAAAAAAGGGAGAAAAGTTTCACTTGGAAAAAAAAAAAAAAATTCTCTCCATTTTTTCCTTTTTCATTTTCTCTCCATTCAAACGAACAAAGGGTCTCTTGTGGCTGTTGTATTAATCTTCCCAGGTGTTAACAACCCTAGCTCGTTGCCGAAACTTGAATCTTTCGACGTAACAGCTTTTTTTGCTGCAAGAGTAATTCTTATTGCTATCAGTAACATCCTCAAAGGAAGTCTAAAACTCGAAGTATAATCTAAGTATGTGTGATGTGCAACTTCAATTAGGTCAAAATTTGGGGTGCAAGTCAATTCAAACATTCTTAATTTGTGGACAAAGACACTATTTAATGCAGGGGAGTCTTTGCACACAAGGTTGTAGTGATAATTTCAATGATTGTTTTTATGTATATGTAAACAAAACAGATTTGAAGGAAAAATTCTGGCAGGAAGTACCAAATCACCAACAAAAATCTGTTCATGCTTACTCACTATCTAATCATTTTGATGTCAATGACTCATAGAATAGCTTGATAATATTCAACAAACAGCATCATTGTGTTTTTTCAAAAATGGACCTATCATTAAAATACCACAATCAAATAATTTGTCTCAGAAGTTTGGAGTTAGTTGCTAGAAAATATTGCAACATATGAAATGTTTGAAATATAAAATATTACCGAGAAGCAATTTACTTGACTCTTTGATGCCCGCAAATTCTCCACCAGTTCTACAATCTCAACCTGTTTTATCACTGTAGCGTGAAGCACCTGCATCAATGGAATAAATTCTAAACACCATAACAATTAACAGTTATAGATGAGTGGTGAAAGCATGGAGAAATACCCTCTTAGTCTTTTCAAGGTCAAACTCAATAGATTTAATTCTATCCAGGGAATTCATAAGCATTTGCTCCTTCTCCAAAGGTATGCCAGCAGGTTTGTGGCTAAGTTCCCCAAATGTTTTTTCTAGTACCTCAAGACGTTGTGTACATCGAAGAACATGATTTCGTTCAGAAAGTGTTTCACTAGCTGTTGCAGGGTTATTGTTGTTATGCTCCATGGAAACAGATGGGTAAATATTGTTCTGTGTTCTCCAAAATTCTAATCTTAAACTGCGGAAGAACGTCACCAATCTTTCCAAAAAGTAGATAAGAACTCTTGACACATTTAAGATATTTGTCTGCTCCACTTTTTCCTTAACAAAGCTGAACCAACTTCTGACTGAAGTACCTGTAAAAAGTACGAACTTCGCATAACCTGTCATGTTTAAGGAAAATACTGATACTTACTACGGATATACACACAATGTGAACGATGGATATGGTGTGTTTCCAACTTCTTCCACATTGAAATGGTATATAATAAGGCATACACAAATGTTTCCAACAAATGCTCCAATAACTTCACACTAACAGTACCTGCATCTTCAGCATTTTCCATACAAGCAACATTCCCTGTATCATCATTCTGCAATGATTGATCCCGAGTAATTTGAAATTCTTCACTTTTGAGCACTTCCTCATCTGCAGAAGCACTATCACGACAAGTGTAGAAGTTATCTGGTACTCTAACCTGCAGACGAGTTAGTCTTTTGAATGATTTAACGTTCAAGAAACACATACAACATGCAAGCAGTATTTAATAACAAGAACAAGGGTTAGAAAGATGAATTAGACAAGGTTCTGGAACTAACTTCTTCATGAACTGGGGCTAAACGAGGAAAAGTGAATCTGCTTTGACTGATGGAGGAAAAAGAATCATCAAGATCTGACCCAGAATCTGCTGTTGACGTATCGCTGCATTGTCCCTGGGAGATGAGGAAAGGAAGTCAAAAACATATAATTTGTAGCTGTAAATAACTTAACCAGCAATTATATGTGAAGTTCTAACCATCCATTGTCAAGAAGATTGAGACTTGCCTTCTGGGAGCGTATCCAGAAAGTGTCTGAATTCTGATGTTCATCAGACATTTGGGTGTTTTCTCTCACAAATGTTCCCTCCACATTATGAACCAGCTAAAATGAGAATCCTTAAGTTAGTGTCCCAAAACCAGCCCAATAAAATATACAAAAACAAGAGATAGCAAAGCAACATTACCTTCATGATATCAGGATCATTCCATGGACCTTTACTAGATCTAAGACATCCACCTTCTCCAGGACATGTACATGAGCCACCCAAAAATTCTGGTAACTGACTGTATAGATGTATTTACAACCATAAATTAATCAACAATTTGATCTCAAATTATAAGGCTGCACGAGGAAGTACATACCTAGAGTCAATTATATCCAGTAATTTACACAAAGACTTAGGTTCAAGAACCTGCAAATTTGGGAAGCATAAAAAATCAGTAGAACTTCATGAAAAGAATATGAAATGCTACCAGCCAAAAGCTACACCCTTCACCTGTATCTTTGCAATAGTTTTCGCGTCAAGAAACTTCTGTGCAGCAGGCCAAAGCATCTTCTTAAAACCGAGACCAGCATTGATGATATACATTCGATGTAATGTCTGCAATGTATGTTGATGATTTTATGCACATAGGAAGACGAGTGGAGAAAAGTTACTTTGGAAAAGAGAAGCATAAAAACCTCAGGATAGTAACTGTTATCAATTTTTGTGATGGCAGCCAATAGACTAGCAGCAGTAGGAGAGAAATTTTTCATTCCCTATATTGCACACATCAAGAAGTTAAAAACTCAGCAGGAAAATGAACTAAAAACGAGGAAGATCATGAAATTGAGAAACAGTTTATCAAGTACAAACTACGAGTCTATAAGGAATACATACATGTTCCATTGATGAGGCACATAATTTCAGAAAAAACTTTAGAGTCTGATACAACATACATACCAATCCCTGTACGTCCAATATTGTCGTGGTTGATGAAATTCGTCTCTTGGCTGCAATGGAACATGCTGGAAATTTCTCTTGCAGAGCCTTCTCAAACTCTTGGACATGATATTTCAAATATCTATCTGTTGTGGTGATACGCATCAAGCGACTTGGATGAGCTTTCCCAAGCCTTTCAATGTAAACTGGCCTACCTTCCTTATCAACTCCATGATACCCTTGAGGGTAATGCTGCAGTACTTCTTCCAGCTCTTTAAATTCAAAATCCTTCAAATATCAGAACACCATTAGACTCAACCAACTAAATCATGTTTCAAGGGTCAACAATCCAAATACAGAACACAGCTTATTCTAAAATATGCTAACATTACACAATTGTACGAATCAGCTTGAAGAAAATTTAAAAAAAACGATTTTTATTGAAAGGTGCAACTCTGATATCCGAAAAAGAAGATTGTGCTGTCAAAATAATTCAAGTCAATCATACCTCCTTTATTGCAGTTAAAGTTATTTCAGAAAACGCAGAAAAAATTAATTATTTCTTCAATTTTAGGGTGAAATAATTATAAGTGATTGATTCTGACATAGAAGTGTGGACCTGTACAAAACTGGTAGCCAATAAATGGTTAACCGACACCCACAAGCGGAGAAAACAAAAACCACCAAACCAATCCGCCGCACAATTTAACGGATCGTAAACTTTTCAAAGGCATGAATCCTTTTCGCAAATCATTATCTTTTCATAGTCATTTATTAAGAAACTATAATTAACAACAACAAAATAAAAAACAAGAACTAATTTTGGTCCACCCTAATAAGATTTTTTAAAATATTTATCATAAAGCACAAAACTTTTTTCTAAAATATATATATTTAATACACAAACATACTATTCCAGATTCAAAAGTCCAACCCATTAACCTAGATGAACGCTGAAACAACTTCCAAGCCCTGAATGTTAAACTATAACACATTCATTGATTTATTGTAATGTATTAAATTCCTTATCTGGCATAATAGTCAAACCCTTAATAAATTACCTGGAGGATGGCGTCAGTTCCAAATTCTTTTCTCCAAATTAGCATCTCTTCCCACATCTGAATTGTTTTCTCTATGTTAAAGTCTCTGGCTTTAAGAAACCTACCACCGACCAAAATGCCCATTCAGAACAAGTGAGAGAAAATAATAAAAAAGAAAAAAAGGAAAAGAAAAAGACCTCAACAATGCATGATAATCATCATGGGTGGGAGGCATGAACCCCTTCTGAAGCAGTCTCTGACGCAATTCCTGCACCGCAGATTCCTCTTTGGCGTCTCTCACATCTTCAATGGGAACCCTGAAGTCTATCTTCCTCTTACCTCGTTTCTTAAGTGAGTGTGTGAATCTGGAAGACGCATTTATGGCCTTCTTCTTCAAGCTTCCAATTCTGAACCTTCTTCTCTCCTCTTCCCAGTTCTCAGCTTCAACAACACCCCCTTCTTCCACCCCTTTCAACAACAACCCACATAAAAAAAAAAATCATAACTTGTAACATAAAAAGAGGTATAAAATTGGAGTTGAGTTGGTTGCATTTGCATACCTGACATCTGAGAGTGGTGAAGGTGGAAAAAAAAGGAAATCGAATTATTAGAAGAGAAAAGAGAAAGTGAATAATGAGAGTGGTGTTTGTGTAAAATGTTTGGAGGGATGTGTTGGGAGGTGGTTCATGCATACATAGGAGGGATTAAAAGGACAACATTTAATGACAGACGACAATGTGTGTGTTGAGTTGAGGTTGTGGATCTCACCGGAACAAATGAGTTTTTTTTTTTTTTTCTGTTGCGGGGAGGAGAAGAGAGAGAGAGAGAGAGAGAGAGAGAGAGAGAGAGAGAGAGAAGAAATAATGGATTGATGTGTAGAGCAGCACGCTGCTGTGCATAGCATATAGGTACTAGTATACTACAGATTTATAAGTTGACACGTGTGTAAAACAGGCATGTAATAATAAAGATCTAATATTTGAAGTTTCAATACTTTCCCAAATCCATACAAAATTAAAACTTTTTTTTATTAGATCATGGATTACCTATAATTAAAACATTACGATTCTGTCAAATGACCGATAAATAAAGATAAATTAAATAATATTTATATATATATATATATATATATATAAATATTAATACATATTTAATTATATAAATAATTTTAAAATTATTATTTATTAATTACATTTGTAATAGATAAATTAAAAATTTATTATATATTAAATCATAATCAATAATTAAATTTAATTAATTAATATTTATAATTTAAATTATAATATTATATTATATTTATATATTTCAATAATATAATATAAATATATACTATTTTTAAGTATAATTTTCTAATTTTAATTTTAATATATAAATTTTTTTAAAAATAAATCAATCTTTTCATTTTATCTTTAACTCATTATATTGATCAAAGGAATAAAAACAAATTGACGATTAAATTATTAATTCTTTTTGATAATTTTAAACATATTACAAAAATTGATTAATTAAACTTAATCTATTTTATCATTATAAACAAAAATATAAAAATATCATAATAATTTTTTAAAAATCAAAGATAAAGAATGAAATAAATAATTAAGAAAATAAAGTAAAAATAAATTATTTTATTACTTATTAATAATTTTTATTAATGTATTTTAAATTTTTTATTTGTATTATAATAATAAAAATAAAAAATATATATAACCGCAATGGTCACGTATGGTCATCAAAGTTTTTTCATTCATTTTAGAAACATAATGATTATGTTTTTCTGTGTAGTTATTTATTTACATTTCTTTCTTTCCCCTCTTCTCTTCACACATGACTCATTCAAATTACCATCATCCCTCCATTTTTCTTTTTTTATCATTTCCCTCTTTCCTTCACAAACCAGACAGAAGTTCATAGAAAATCATGGGTAAAAACAATGTCGATTGGAGCAGCAATACATCTCCAATAAAAATTTCATTTAAAGTTTTCTTATCAATATAAATATAATATAATCTTTACTTGGTAAAATATAATTACGGATCACAATCAAACTCATTTAATTGGACATCGATTTGTTTTCATATTAAATTATAAAAAAGAAAATTAGTTGAACGGGAATATGAACGAATTTTTCCACTTTACAAAGTCGGGATGGAGCGCGAAGATGTGTAATGTAATTTTTATTGTGACTTCACATTTGTTTTTGCCCTAATTTTATATTTAATTTAAATTTTAATTCTAAAATATTAATATTTTTAAAGAATTTTCTTTTTTTATATTATATATATATATATTACTTTTTTTCTACCAATTTTTTTATTTTTTTATCTTTTTAAATTTCTTATATTAATCAGTTGGTACATTATCATCTTTCCCGCTTATTTACATTTCTTTAATCAATTTAATTTTTTCAATCTCTTCAACCAATATAACAAATACAGTTTTTCTTTTTATCTTTTCTAAATATTCTACACAAATCTTAATAATAACTAATATTATTTTAATTATAATTTATCTTTATTAAATTTTATTATCTTATATTTTTTAGATTTTATTCTTTCGATTATACCATATATTATTTTTTTTAATAAAATAATTACATTTTAAAGGATAAAATAGAATTAATAATTACATTTTATATTACTTTGAACTAATTAAATAAAAATTAACTTTTTAAATAATTTTTAATAAATTATATATTTCATATTTTAAAATGACAACTTAATATATAATTAACTTATATATAATCAAATGTTTGAATATAATGTTATAATATATAATAATAATAATAACATTATTATAAGTATTTTATAGTTGTATAAAAAAAAACTATTAAATGTTTATTTTACGTACATATTTTAATATAAATATAATAAATTAATGTATATACTTAGTTTATAATAATAATAATGAAAAATAAAAAAATATTTATTTATGTATAAAAAAGTATATAAAAGATATTAAAATTAATTTATTATAAGTATGATTATTTTTTCAAAATTTATGTAAAACTGGGATAGGAAACACAAAATTCAAAGGGGACGAAGATAAAGACTTAATTTCTAACATCGACTGAAAATCATGGAAGGAGGTAGGAATGGTTAAAAATTCGGGAGCAAAAAAGAACAAAATTTAAACTTTGGTCCTCTTCAAAATAAAGTGAAAAATGATTATTATAAATAAATAAATAGATAAATAAATAAATAAAAACTATTTTTCTTATTTCATAACAATGAAAATAGAAAAAAATTATCTTTTATTATAATATATTACTTCTAGGAAATATTTTTTACAAATTTATCTTTATAATTATTCTTTTTATATTATAATTTTAATATATATATATATATATATATATATATATATATATATAACAACTATTTTAAAACAATACATAAAACACACTTGATAAGTCAAAATTCAATTAAGCATGCAATATTTAAATATGATATTATAAAATAATACAATTCAAATTAAAATTTCATAGAGCACATCAATTTACGTTAGACAAAAATCACATCATATTCATATAAAACTCGTATTAATGTCACGACAATTTTTGAAATATTAAATATTATTAGAGATTACATATATCATATTACAACTATGTAAGTGTTTAACATAAGGGTACTCATTTAGTATATACATACATTCACAAGACAAAATTTTAAATAACTTATCAAGACATAGTTATTTTTCATATCATAGGCTAAGTCTTTTAAATCTTTTTTCAACTCTCACTACTTAAATATTTCATTTATGTAATTTTAATTATCAGTAGAGTTAGGATATTTCTTCGAGTCTTATATCAATATACACTACATAAAAAATATGAGAATGCTCCATAATATTTCTCATATTACAACATACCATCACAACTACACCAAATAATAACATCACATCCCACTTCTACATAATTTAAAAGAAAACACTATCTAATTAGTCAAATATTTTACTTAATATTCTAAAAAAAGATATATAATAATTAATTATATTTAATTAAAAAAACACATTTTAAAGTTTAAAATTATATGAGTGTGTTGTGATGTTTGATATATTGACTTTGTAATAATTATTAGTGTTAATATATATGAAAATATATGAAATTATTATTTTGGAACAATTTTAAATATTGTCATATTTTTTAACCACTATCGACATGTGTTTAAAAGGAAATATAAATGTTAAATCTGAAGAGGTAAACATGAAATTGAGAAAATTTTTAATATTTTTATTAGTTTATATATATAATTACTAGAGTTTATATTTCAAAATACAAATAAATTATATAAATATGGTATATATTTGTGACTGTTACATTAATTTTTTATTAGTTTCTTAATATTAAATACGTATGACAATAATACAAAGTAAATTTATTTATATATTGAGTAAACTTAAAATATATTATATATATATATATATATATATATATATATATAATAAGATTAAAAGTTATTATAATTGAAACCAATAGCATATATCTTTTTATTATAAATAAAAAAAAATAAGTAAATCCATTTAATGTTCTTAATTTATAAAATAAATTAGAAAGATAGTTACAATCATTGACAATCTGTCAAACCCATTACCTTAGAATTAGAGACTGATATATTCCAACCACTAAGTTATTAGGATTTTTTTATAATAATTTACAAATAAATTATATTTATATACAAATAAATGTATATGTGTGTTATATATTTATATAGTTATATATTTATATGTTGAATGTGAGGGCGTGCTCGATGGTGAAAGTGTGTGTCGAGTTGATTTTCAAAATTTGATGCCAAATTTGTGAGTGGGTCTCTTTATACGAGTTTGTAATTGAATGACAAAATATAATATTTATTATTTATTTATATAATGATATAAAATAATTTTTATTTTATTTTATTTTCTTTTTATTTATTCTTTTTATCTTTTTTTCTTCTGTTATTTGATTAAAATTTTTATATTAAAATAATTTTTTCAATATTAAAAATACTTAAATATTTATTTTTAAAATTATTTAATTTAACAAAATTATTATAAATTAATCTAATTATGATTAAATTAAATTATTAAATAAAAAAGTATTTAAAATTTTAATTAGGTGAATAATTAATTAATTTATTAGAATATATTTAAAATTAAGTAATTATTATATAATTTTAAATATTTATTTTTTTAATTTAATGTTGATTTTTAAAAATATACTTTAAATCCGCTCGGTAACTAATTGTTAATTTATCGACAGATATATCCATCGGTAATTAATTGTTTATTTACCGATGGATTTACCTACGAATATATTTGTTGGTGATTAATTGTTCATTTACCAATGAATATATCTGTCAGTAATTAATTATTCATTTACCGACGGATATATACGTCGGTAAGACCAAATTTCACAACTACTTTAAATTCGTCGATAATTTCTGTTGATAATCACTCATTTTCCAAGAGTTACATATCTATCGGTAAATATCCGTCGGTAATTAATGATTTTCTTGTAGTGTGAGAACGATCTTAAAGTCTAAAATCTGAAATGACAATGTTAAATATTAAGATAGTTAAAATGATTTTATATG